CATGGCCTTGGCAAGTTTGCTATGATTCCATACGTTGAAAGCTTGGTCTCACCTAGTGCATGTGATGCTCGCATAGGATGATAACTTAGCCACTAGATTAACAGTGAAACACAGCATTATTTTCAATGGATTACTTGATGTCGTCATTTACTTTTGTTTATATGTTTTTGTTTCATGGATCAATCAATTTTATTTAATTTGATATTTTTGTCTCAGTTATGTAATAATGGAAAGTACAATTTCTATATCATCTTCTTCTTATGAGTAAATGATACATAATATAATAGACATGACGTTCGTTTTGAGTTTCGTGTCATGGTGCCTTAATTCGTGTTGACAAGTTGAGGAAAAGCTCAAGCCCCCTTAATTTTCTGTCTGCTCAAGCTCCCTCACAAACCTAATTAGACTACCCAAAAAATAGAAGAAAACCAATTTTAACATAAAATGCGAATTAAATAAAAGTCAAAGAAAGAGAGAAATTAAAGCCCAATTATAACAAGACTAATGCAAGAGAAAATGAAGGCTGTAATATTATTTTGATCCTATGAATATTCTGTGGATATATAGTGGTGAGCAGGTGGACTGCCAGTGCTTCTTAGTTACCAAGAAGAACAAATTATAAGATAAAAACTCGTAGAACACCCACCTAAAGAAGCATCTAGTTAGCTTGACTAATTTTGGTCCAAAAACCCACAAGCTCCTCATGACCAGATGGTTCAGTTGAGGGTACTAGGTTAGAAGCTCAAGTGAGTCACTACTCTTCAATCCACTAGACCAAGGGAAATTACTAAAAATCTAATATCCAAACAACGTGGGAGGTGAGGGATTCAAACTTAGTCTCAACATGAGCTTTCAACTTGTATACTTCTTTTAACCAAACTGAACATTGGTGCTATGCAAGGACAAAAGCTATTGGTGCTATGTAACAAGAATAAACAGTGAACTCAATGCTTGATAGTAAAATTATCTCATGAATCTAAAACATTGCACTAGTCGTACAGACCAAAAAGCATATAGAAGAACATAAGTCTCATTTGAGAAGTAAATGGATCAAAAGTTAAAAACACAATATGGGGGTTTCTTTATATTTAGTAAAATAGTCCAATCTGCAATAGTCACATGGTTTCAATGATGTGCATTCTTAAGAGTCGAACAGGAAGAAAAGTAGCTTTATGTCCCCTACCGCATATCATCATGTATTATGTCCCCTACTGCATATCAGCATGTATCAAGAGCCTGACATCATTAAAAACAAAATTAACAAATGATTGGTAACCTAAAAACTTGAATTTGAAAATAACTGAAACAAAACAACCTACCTACAAACATTGCCATTTATTGGTATAGTAGGACTTCAGCCAGACTCATTTGATGAAAAGCCGAAGCAACAGAGAAAGTACACCTGAACTGTTCATTAGAAAGCCACTGGAATTTCACCCTATTATCAAAGCCAAATCCAACACCTCCTTGAACAGCATTAGCAGCAAATTGATAAACCCTAAACAGGTTAAACACAGCTGTACATACATCATCTCTTCCAAATGGTCCTTCAAAAATAATCCTATCTCCATCCTCATTCTGACCAAGAGTAAAGCAATTAAAATCTTAGCTTATTATAACATGATGTATAAAAATAGTATAAAATGGTTTGCAGCTAGTCATGTCAATTTTTAGGCGGGATGAATTAAGGCCCTCGATTCCACTCTTTTTCAATTTACCCTTCATATCTTTGCTAGGAATCATAGAAGAAGGATGACCAAAAGATAATCTTATGAGCAGAGGTATTTCCTTGGGCCTTTCCTTTTTTGCTTTCTCTCATATGGGTATTTGAATTTATTCAAATTTAGAATTGGGCATTCAAAAAGATTGGTATTTGTTTTTGGGTTCTTAATAAGACAAAGAAAGAAATGAGGCCTGTTTGTGAGATTTTTGTTTCCAGTCAATTGTATACTTTTTACTTGTGCCAAGGAAAATACCTCCCTGCACATGTTAAGGGTTTGTGAAATTCTGGAAAGTTGAAGACAAGAAAAGCAAACTTGGGATAAAGGCCTTAACTTAAAACGTTGTCCTTTCAATAATGCACCCTGCCTAAATATTGACACTACCGGTTGCAAATCATTTTATCAATAAAAATATATATAATTTAATTTAGATTAAATCGCACTTTCGGATACAAATGATTTACCCCCAAATCTTAAGGTGATTGGATTAATTGATTGATGTTTCAAGTCTCACTAATACCTTGAAAAATCTTTTTCCCCAAAAATTGTAAACAGTTAAAAAAAATTATATAGTACCATATCATGATTGTATAGGTTGCTCTGGTGGTGAATGACCATTTTGATGAAGTTTCGTCCTTCAATGCATCGTGTGCTAATCCTTAAAGTTCCACCATCATCTTGCAAGGAAAATTTTTTGTCAAAT